CTTCAACCCCTCCATCCCTCCCTATTTACAAAGACTTTGTTTCCATTTTTTCATTTTCTCATATTAATTCCATTCCCTTCTTTCCTTTCCCCTACTCCTTCCACTTCCCCTTCCCCTTTGCCCCTTTTCTTCCAGGGTATTTTGTAATTTGGATTGGCAAGATAGTAGCCAGATAAAAAGTTTGGCCTCTGCTTGCTTTTCCCTTTCCTTTTAATATCCAAGAACAAAGTATTTAAACTGTCTATATCATTTTATCTTTTTCTTAGAATGTAAATAGTTATACTTAACTCTCATAAATATCAGTGAATTCTATCTCTGGAAGAATTCTAAATTCCTATGTTTTAGAAAGTAAACATAACAGACACAATTTTGTTATAATGCTGTAATAAATAGAAAGCTTTTTACTTCTCTCAAGTTTAAAAGCAGTCCTGAGAGACACCTTAGAAAACATATTTAATTTTTTTCCATTTTAACCTTGCCATAGGTATAATAGAATTTTGAAAATCCTAGTCATTGACGTAGAGCAAGATGCATAAAAGCCTTGGTAATATATTTAACTTGATATTGAGCATAGATTATACAGTATTTCTTCAACTTCTGTATGTGATTTAATCTACATGTTTTTTGAGATGGTATAATTTATGACAGCAATGTCAAATCTCTTTTTTTACAAAAGAAAATTTTACTCTTTGATGATCGATTTTATCACAGGATCAAGAATTTTCAAAAACTGAAGATGCAGAACCAGAAGACATGGATAAGGAAATTGATGCCAAATATCAAAAAGATGAGATGAAAACCGTGGCTGATGATGAAAAAGAAAGGTCAGAAAGTATCAGTGATGACTCAGCTAAATTTGACAAACAGGTATGATAGGTGCTTAAATCCTGAGATCCTGCCTAAGAAAAGTACAAATTATTTGTGACAGCAGTATCAAACTTCTTTTTTACAAAAGAAAATTTTTTTTCTTAAATTGTTTTATTGGTACATTTTAGGTATACAATACGTTTACATTTATCATTGGGTGCTTGTACCTGTACATGATGTATCTTGGTTCTTATTTTTTCCCCATTACCTGTGCGCCCTTCCCTATTTACGTAGACTTCATTTCCATTTTTTTTCCTTTTCTCATAATTTTTCATTTCCTTTCTTTCCTTTCCCCTTACCCTCTCATCACCCCTACCCCTTTGGAGCTTTTCTACCTATTTCAAATTATCAATTATTTGTTTTAATCATTTTAATCCTTATTTATACTTTCAGTTTCTCATACCAGAGAAACTATTCGGTATTTACACATATGTGTCCTATTTATTTCACTTAAGAGTATGCCCTCAATTTGCATCAATTTAGCTATAAATGTCTAGTTTCTCTTTCTTTATGGCTGAGTAGTACTCCATTTTATAAAAAAAACTACATCTTCTTTGTCCAGTTTCCTGTTGATGGGCACTTGGGCTGTTTCCAAGCTTTA